TGGCTCTGAAAACCCACCGATGCTCAGCCGTGTGGTTGCATCAGGCCCAGGGGCTCACGGTCTCCACTGAGGATGAGTGTGACTGTATAAACTACAAGCAGGGAGCTTAAGGTTAGATTTTAAGAAGGGCTTTGTCAGAGAAGCTTAGGTGAACAGGGAGGTCACTGAGTCTCCTCCTGCAGGGAAATTGGGAAGAGCATCTGAGATCTGTCGGCGGAGCCTTGAGATAAGGAGCGGGTTCAGGGGATCCACCGGTTTCCCGTCTTGTTCTGATTTTATCCTGTCTTGAGAATGTGGCTCAAGGGATTACCAGGTTGGGGGGGGGTGGCTTGGTCAGCCCTGCGATTTAATTAGCGCTGCACTGGAGAAACCCAGCCTAGCGTGATCGTTTCCCAGTGCCTGGGAGACACCTTGCCTGATAAATGGGCTACTTTCTCCCGCAGCTGCCCGGCCCGAGTGCTGTTGGAGGGAACTTGGTCTCCGTCTCGTCCGAGCTGCCTGCCTGCTCCCGGTGCCCTCCCTTCTCCCCCGTGCACTATAAATAAATTCCCTTAGTCCATCCCAGCACACTGTATCAATCTTGTTTAATAGACTGGAAAGCTTAATGCGTGGTGGCGGGTCGCGGGGAGCATTGGGGTGATGGATGGTGCCTTCCCGGAGTCGAGCACCGTTGATGTATAATGAAATATTTATGATTTATTCCGGCTAATAAACTGGAATGAAGTATGTGATATATGTGAGCAGATGGGGAACTATTGATGCGGCTTCCATTTGGGGAGTGCGGGGAGGTTTATGTCCGTAACACACACCAACACACATCACGGACCCTCGCATGTCATAAACCGTGCTCCTCGCATGGCTGTTGCGGGGACAACCGATCCCCCTCCCCTCATTAATCTCTTACGCCTTCCCTCTAATTGTTTGTCATTCCACATCCCTCCTGCACCTGTTCTCCGCGAGCTGAGAACTTTGCTTGTGCGGAACGCCTTTTAGCTGAGGGCTCCGGTGGTGGAGGAAAGTGTGGTCAAGTCGCAACCGACTTACGGTGACCCCGTAGGGTTTTCTAGCCAAGAGACGCACAGTGGTGATCTGCCATTGCCTGCCTCTGCGTAGCAAACCCTGCACTTCCTCAGTGGTCCCCCATCCACGTAGAGACTTATGGTGACCCCGTAGGGTTTTCTAGCCAAGAGACGCACACTGGTGATCTGCCATTGCCTGCCTCTGCGTAGCAAACCCTCCACTTCCTCAGTGGTCTCCCATCCACGTAGAGACTTATGGTGACCCTGTAGGGTTTTCCAGGCAAGAGACATTCAGAGGTGGCTTGCCATTGCCTGCCTCTGCTTAGCAAACCTGGATTTCCTTGGGGGTCTCCCATCCAAGAACTAACCAAGGCCGACCCTGCTTAGCATCCGAGACCTGACCAGATCAGGCTAGCCTGGGCCATCCAGGCCAGGGCTCTGGGGGCTCTACCACCCTGGAGTTTTAAGAGCTGAGCTAGCCCTCCACAGGCATTCTTGGCAGTGACCCCATGGTGTTGGTCAAAGACGGCTGGGTAAGTAAGTGGCAAACCCCAATGGAACTCCGCTAGACGGATATGCATGCACCGGCTCATTCACACGGACAGAGCACCCATTGGAGTTGATGGTTTTGAGCGCCTGGCTTGTTGTGGGTCCCTTGATGCCCTGAAAGACTTGGGGAGACCCTCCTTCCCCCTCCCCATCCTACCTGGGCTGCCCCACCAGCTGCGTCTCTCTCATCTTAATGAGCAGCCAGGCCTACAGAGGTCCCGCCAGCCAAAGCCCCCAAAGAGGAGCTGCTGTGGTTTCTGACGGCTTCAAAGCAGGACTTCCCAGATGGTCTCTGAGCCGGCATCCACACTGCTTATTTAGAGAACTCCGCAGCTCTCCAGGTACCAGTAGTTCTCCGTAAGAGAAGCCGGCAGGGAAGTTGCCTCATTCTGTCTGTGCCTGCTCAAAGTGAAGGATCCCCCCCTGCCTCTGAAAGAGCTGGGGATTCTTGTGAGCAGCAGAGGAAGGAGGAGGGGGGGGAGGGGGAGAAGATTGGATTTATACCCTGCCCTTCACTACCCAAGAGCGGCTTACCAAACTCCTTCCCCTTCCCCTCCCCACAGCAGACACCCTGTGAGGGAGGTGGGGCGGAGAGAGCTCTGACAGAAACTGCCCTTTTTTCAAGAACAGCTGTGCCAGAACTATGGCTTGCCCAAGGTCATCCAGCAGGAGCAAGTGGAGGAGTGGGGAATCAAACCCGGTTTTCCCGGATTAGAGTCTGCGCACTTGACCACTACACCAAACTGGCTCCAACACCAGTGGTGCACTCTCCGAAGCAAAGGACTGAGACCCACCAGTCTTCGCAAGGTGCCCCAGGAAGCTCATGCTGCACCCAACTCTTTGCAGCCTGAAGTAGAAGGTGCCAGGAGGCGGAGGTGGGGGGGGCGTTTTCAATGAGGCATCAAGTGAGTTATGAAGCACCGTAGTCCACCTCACCAAGCCCTCTCCAGATACATTTATGCTCGCCCACCCCACCTTTCTCCCTTCCACCCCAAAAGATATCACTTTGACACCTTGGCATCTTCACATGCAGGGGTCATTTCGTGGAAAAAGAGGTGCAGGAGCTCCTTAGCATAACTCATTTGCATAACTCATTTGCATAACTCATTTGCATATGCCACGCCCCCTGACATCACCGGAAGTGTGTCAGAAGGCAACACCCACCGCTCAGGCTCCACTGGACTGTTTTGGATTACTAGCTATCGGGGGGGGGGGACG